AGTCCATTAACTCTACAACCTATCCTAATCTTTTGGCCAGTATGATCCTGGACAACACAAGATTTAGCATTAAATAATATAGTGCAACTAGAATCTATAATTTTTCCAATAGATAACAGTTGCATAGATAATTTGGGAATATGAATAACAGATGATAATGTTAGACAACCAGAACTATCAGAACTTGGAGTAATATCACCTAACTGAGAGACTGTAAGGGGAGCGTCATTAGTAGTATAAATGCATAATAAAGAGGGATCATGTGAACAATTTGTAAGAATAGAGTTATCAAAGGTCATATGATGAGATGCACTTGAGTCGAATATCCAAGGAGTAGAAGTACCAGAATGAGCAGACAAGATAGTAAAATCTAAGCTGGAGGCAGCACCACTAAACCCAAGCTTCCTGATTATTAATACAGCAATCTCTGGTAGCTGTTTAGAAGAGAGAGGGCTAGAAGTCTGCGGCCCTTGAGGAGCAAGGCTAACATCAGTTGAAGTAGTAAATGGAGGTCCAGTCTTCTCGAGTGTTGAATGAGGTAGTCTCTTATGACATTTATCAATAAGATGACCCGGCTTCTTACAATAACGACAGTAGAGTTTCCGAGAGGAATCAGATGTACTATTAGAAGGAGCCCAATAGAAAGAGAACTGCTAAGAAGTAGCTAGAACAGTTTGTGGTGAGGGTAATGGTTGAGATGCAATAACTGGAGGGGAGAGCATCTGAAGGCGCGTCTCTTCAGATATAAACTCAGCCACGGCTTCACGAAGACCGGGGAGAGGACTGCGATAAAGAATGTGTCCACGTAAGCTTTCGAACTCATAGCGAAGGAGCACGATAAAGTGATATAACTATTGACGATCACGTTGTTTTTGAAATGCTACGGCAAAGTCTGGAAGTGTCTCAGGAATAGGTTCCCCCATCATTTGTAATTCTTCCCAATAACATGATAATAGGGAATAGAAATCTTGAATAGAACGATCACCCTAACGTGCATCCTGAAGAGCTTGGTGAAGTTGATACTCACGAGCAACACCAGTCTGAACAAACATGCGACTGAGAGCTAGCCACTGCTCACGAGATGAAGATGCTCATCCAAGAGAGAGCCGAATATGAATAGCTACAGAACGCATAATATATGCCATGATCTGTTGATCAGTATGGATCCACTAAGAATAAGTGATCCAAGAATCATCAGTAGTGGAATCACTAGAAGTGACTTCTGATATGGAGGATGTAGATAACGAAGACACAATAACAGTTTTGGATGGACAACGAAGAGATCCGTCAATATAACCTCATAGTACAAAAACTTGAAGATTATATTGCATAGTAAGAGACCATGCAGTGTAATTTTTAATATTTGTAAGTTGCACATCAAGGGGTGAAAAGGTGTAGAGTCCTTTCTTGTCCATGGCCTTTTTTATGCCTTCTTTTTTTTGCCTTTTTTTCCTTTTTTTTGTTAGATAAAAGATGGGCCTGAAGATTGACCTTAGATAAAAGAGGGCTTTCTCACGTGATCTCTCTCTCTCTCTCTCTCTCTCTCTCTCTCTCTCTCTCTCTCTCTCTCTCTCTGATCTTGAGGGTTTTAAGAAGAGTGGACGGCGACGACAGGGTCGACGATACGGTTGATGTAGCTGGCAACCGAGGCGAGGGTGGAGTGGACGGCGATAAGAGATGAGATTGGGATCTCGGTCTAGGCGAGGCTGGGATCTCGATCAGGAGTTCGACGTGAGATCTCAGGTTTGGGAGATCAACGCTCAAGCGAGGTTAGGATCTCGGTCAGGAGTTCGACACGAGATTGAGGCTGATCTCAGAGGCTGTCTAGAGTATAGAAGATCCCTAGAGATGATGATGACGATGGCTGAATAAGTAGTGTTGATCATACCGGAGCGGATAGAGATCAGAGGTGGCGACAGCGACAAGTAAGACCTCCGGCTATGAATATTTCTGTGGTTAAATTTGATTTGACGATGTAGAATTGAAATTGATTTAGGGATTGAATCTAGCACTCTTATACCATGTTAAATTGGTATTGAAGAAAACTTATCATTTGACGATTAGATTTACAGGTTATATCTACATAATCAGTAGCCCACATACACAATCAGTAGCCTACACTAGGAGCACAATAGGAGGCGGCTGAGGTGACTATACACATATACGCCTCGTTTGGTACACAGGAATGGGGTAGAATGGAATGGTCATTCTCACTTCTCATTCTCCGATACCAAATGTACCTATTTTTTTAGAAGTTGGAATGACCATTCCCAGGAAATGACCATTCCCACTTTTTGTGGGAATGAGCATTCCAAGTGAATTGATAAGAAATGATCATTCTCATTCAAGTGAGAATCAAATTAGTTATGTAATTTTTAATTATACCCCTATTGATAATTTATCAAAGGAGTTAATTTTGATATCTAGAACTGTGGATTGTGGATATCATTCTTTATATTATTTTTGGACCTATGAAAGATGTGATACTCTTTTGTGGATTGTGGATATCATTCTTTATATTATTTTTGGACCTATGAAAGATGTGATACTCTTTTATTTATTTTTCTTTAATTTTTTAAGACCTTTATATTATTTTTGGACCTATGAAAGATGTGATACTCTTTTATTTATTTTTCTTTAATTTTTTAAGACTAAGAAATAGTGAGTATTGTTTAAAAAATATATACGGAACATGCACCTGAGAGATAACATGTGCATTAGTATAAAACATAGCTAGATTAATATAACCTATGCATAAATAAAATTGTTTATTTATTATCATTAATGTTTATTTTTATCTTATTAAAAATATATGTTGTTGTAAGGGCATTATTAGAAAATAAGATTTCATTCTCACTTAATTATGAACTAGTAATACCAAACATTGTAATGAGAATGAGATTTTCATTCTAGCTTTTTTCTACAAAGGCACCCAAACAAGAGAATGAGAATGATCATTCCATTCCCACGTACATTTCATTCAATTCCTTCTCCCATTTCATTCTCATTTGAGTCTATTCCTGCGTACCAAACGAGACGATAGGGTGGTTGGTGGCTCATGATATTATCTAATATATAGAATGGAAAAGAAGCGCAAGGCCTTGAATGGCA